CCCCAAAACCCCAAAACCCCAAAACCCCAAAACCCCGGGATATTGGTATTCATTGAGATATCCTCAAATATATTTTTAATTCAAATATTTATTCAAGCGACTAGAATTCCTTTCCTTCTTCGAGAACTTTGGATTCTTCCTTTTCCTCCTCTTCACTTTCTTCTGAGCTGACATATTCAATTTTGAATGTTTCTTCTGACCTCAGTGAGCTGCAATCTTCTGAGGTAAGCCTATGAACTCGCGGATCAAGACCTCTTTCTCTCAGAAGTTGATTTCTTCTTGTCCTTTTTCTCCAAGCAGAGAAGGATAGTTTAAAGTACATTAGAGTAAGGAAAGGATTCACTTTGAGAAATTCTGTGTCATTGTTCTTATTCTTTGTTTTTAATTTCTTTAACACAGAGAGTTCTTGTTGAGCTACTGAAATGTTTTTGATGTTCACATCTCCATAAACCCTAAAAATTACTTAAAATATTACCTTTTCATAGCTTTAAAGAGAAGCTCGTTAAAGAATATGAATCCATTCTTATCACTTATCAGATCCATTTTTAGTATTTCAACTACTGCCTTTCTTCGGTCCATGTTCCTCATTCCTTTAAATCCTAGTGGAGATGGCATAGAATAGAAGAACTCCACAAGATAGTACTCTTTTATCTTAACGCCAGAGGCTTCTTTAGAAAATTTAGTCCAATTTAGTTTAAAAGTGTGGAGATCCTTCTTAAATTTCTCAATGACATTATCTTTAGGCAAGTAATACTCGTCAAATTGCTGAAGGATTACTAGAATGAACAGGTTTAGCAACACAAGCGTACAGATCATGATGAATGAGATAAAATACAGAGGAGCAATAGGAGTTCCTCAAGTCTTATCAGAAACACAATCAGGTTCCGTTCTTGATAGGTCATACATGATTTTATTCCAATCTTCACCTGTGAGGATCATCAGCAGAATGAGCATTGCTTGATGAAAGTTTCTGAAATTTTTATATTCACTGATTACTTCGCCTTCAGTTACTCCACTAAAAATGAATACTCCAAGAATAGCATATATGAAGAAGACGAGGAGAAGAAGAGCAAATACATTGATAAGGCTGGAAATTGAGAAGGTGATTGTCTGTATCAAAGTTTGTAATCCCTTATATTTGTTTATGAGTCTTAGTAGTCGAGACACTCTAAGTATTCTCAACACTCTAGCTAATTGAGGACCAACTGTGAGAATTTGGAAGGAACTAGAGCTTAAATATGTCAGAAGGATTTCGAAAAGACTAGAAATAACAACAAAGAAGTCAAAATTGTTCCAGCTTGATGTAAAGTATACAGTGCCGTATGCTATTAACTTTAGAATAGCTTCCAAGGCGAATAGAACAGTAAAGATAAGGTTGATTATATATAAGGCTCTGTCATAAGACTCTGGAGATCCTTCATAGCTAATAGCCATTTGGACCATGTTTAATACAATACAGGTCATTACAACCACTTCAAAAGCTTCAGAAATTACAATTGAGTGGAGGAATTTTCGGAATCTTTGCTTTGGGATATATGTAGTTTTTATATCTGGTGATGCTTTCTTTATCATTTTCATAATATCAATCCAGATTCTTTGCTTATGATTCAATACAAGAGCTTCAGCTTCCTCTTTCTGAGCTTGTTCATAATTTAGAGAAATTACACCAACAAAGAAATTCAAGAAAAAGAAATTTCCAACTAGAATAAAGAAGACAAAATACAAAGAATAATAATAGCTAGCGTCTTCTTTTGGCCCTCTTTCTATAGAGGTTGCATCTGTTGCCTGATACATGATGTCTGGCCATCCTTCAAGAGAGGATACAACAAAGAGAGTGAGCATTGCATTAATAGTATTGTCAAAGTTAGAATCATAAGTTTTCCAAATTCCTCCTATCTCAAGGCATTCTTCTCTCATCTTAATTTCATAAGTCTCAATAGTTCAATATTGAAACTTTCCTCCAAACAGATTCACTCCAAGGATGGCAAACATTAGGAAAACCACCAAGATTACGATGAGAACATTAAAAATATGGCCAACTGACTGGATCAATGCTTCTACTACTATTTTAATCTGAGAATTATGAGAAATAAATCTAAGAGGCCTTAGAGTTCTCAAGAGTCTCAAAACCTTGATTACTGGTACATTGATGCCATCAAAAGCAAGGTCGATTATACTAGTTACAGCGATGAAAAAGTCCAACTGATTCCAGCTTTCTCTGAGATATGACCCTTTCTCAAAAACAAGGCCTGCTGCGATTGATTTTATGAGAGATTCGAGAGCAAAGAAAATAATAAAGAAAAGATCAAAATATCCTGAGATAACTATCTCTAGTGAATCATCAGATCTATTGAGGATATAAGTGTCTGCTATAAGTTTTATACTAGAGAGAAGGATCAATGTCATTATTATGGTCTCAAATCCAGCCCATTGAGTCAGAGTATAAATCCAGACCCTGATTGGATTTGATTTTGAGATAAAGAAAAATGCTCTCTCACATTCAACTCCTTCATAAAGTATCTTGCTTGGCTTTATCTCAGACTCCTTTTTAGCGAGAGTCTCTGGAGTGATCTCTATAGATTCATCGAGTAAATTAGTATCCTTGTTCTTCTTTTTGCTCTTATTTACGCACAAATTTCTTGGAATCATTCTTATCGTCTCCTTGACCTAAGTCAAGTTTGATTTGGTAATCGATAGCCTCAATTAGCTGTTCATTCTTTTTCCCTTCAAGATTGGCTTTTTGGTCACTTTCAAGGTTAGGCTGGTCATGGAGTCCATTCATAATGTTTATCTCTTCCATTTCCTTCTTTTCCTCTTCATCTTCTTCAACAAAGCTATCTAAGAGAATGGCCAAAAAGAGATTCAGAAGGACAAAGTTTCCAATAAAAATCCATGAGATGAGGTATATTGCAGCAGTCCATCCAGACTGGTCCATTGTTGAATAAAGAATCGAGTTCCAGTTTTCCATTGTGAGAAGTTGGAATACTGTTAAGAACGCTACTCCAAAACTATCAAAATTTGCTCTAGGCTTTGGTCCTTCCAGATTATTATACTGGCCTCCATAGAGTTGCATTCCCATTAAGCTGTAAATGAATATAAATAGCAGGAGGAGTATAGCTAAATATACAAAACTACTCATAGACCTTCCAATTACTCCAATAATCACTTGCATTGATTGCATAGATCTGAGGAGTCTGGCTACTCTGAGGACTCTGAATGTTCTAAATATCCTCACTGTTCTGAAAGCAGAAAGAGAGCCTCCACTATTGGATAGAAAAGCAAGCTCTACAATACTGAGGATTACAACTGCTCCGTCCACATAATTCATTGTTTCTCTGAGGTAATTATTGATTCCGAGTCCAAGAATTTTAAGAACCATTTCTATGCAAAACACAATAGTAAAGAATGTATTTATGTTGTTGAAGTTTCTTTCAACTTCTGGATCTATTCCATAATGATCAATAGCAAGGATCAAGGTATTAAGGGTCACGCTAAGGGTCATAAAGTTCTCAAAATGAGATGACCTCACTAATAACTCAAGGTAATATTTAGTTTTTAGCAACCATCTCAGAGGTCCCATTCTATGAACTCTCATCTGATTAAAACTATTGAGAATGAGATTGACTTTGCTCGGCTCAAGACAGGGTATGATATCCTGCCCACTCCATTCAAGATTTAAAATCTTATTGTTCTTATCTTTCTCTTTAACCTTTTTAATGGCTCCTTCAAGATCAAATTCTACATCCAGAAATTCATCTTTAACATATTCTTTTTGCTGATAAGGAGTCTCTTCAATCTCTATATTTTATAAAATAGTGAGCTATGAAAGCTTTGTTTATAAACGCCAATCTATAACATTTTCGTGGAAACATAAAGAGTAAAATTTTAATACTTTTTGTCTTATAGAGAAATTTGAATTTTGAAAATAGAGCTAATCAATGATATTTTTGATTTAAAAAGTGCGTACCAATGACACCATCAACTACTTCTTTTATCTGTTGTTCGCTCATTTTATCAATCTTTCCAGTACGTCGGATAGAGGGCTATAATTGCTGTCAGAAGCATACCTTAGGTGCTTGTTGGTTTAATTTAAATGTACTGAACTTTTTGGAATTTCTCGGCTTAGGTATCGATCTTCTAAAACTAAAATATATATTTACGCTTCTGCAGTAGATGGAAAGGTGAACTTCTTTACTGACAAATTAGTTGATAATGGAGACCCACTAAATCCAGATCGCTTTAGTATTGACTTGGGCGTTTTGTAGGTAGGTGATTGGGCTTTCATCATGGTTCCTGATCTTCTCAATCCTTTTTGAAAGATATGACTGTGCTGCTGTCTAATCTTCTGTAGAAATACTGTTGATATCATTTTCTTGACATCTGTAACACCAAGTTTTTCTTTATCTCCGGATTCATTAGCCATCGAGCCTTTCCGAGAGAGTGGTGTTTGAATGTGAACCTCTGATTTTTCAGGTATGGAGCTATATTTTTAATTCTAAGATTTACTCTTCATCACTGCTAATATAGATATCATCTGGAACTAAATCCATTCTGTTAACTTCTTTCATTTCTTTACTTTCAGCAACAATTGAGACTGTGTTAGTTGATATAACACGAGAATGGAAATTAGCATCATATTTCTGCTGAAGCATCTTATTCTTACTCATAAATTCTATGTCTGGTTGTGTATCCACTAGATAGGCTTCTGTTGTGAACTGATCCTCCGCTGGGACACTGAAGTCAGGCTGAGATCTATAATTGATTCTCTTTTCATATTCCTTAATCTCAGAGTCCATCCAGATCATTTGCCATTGAAATTTGGTCTTATTTAGACTCTTTCTCCTTTTCTCTGACTACATCTCTGAGGGATGAATATTTAAACCTGATCTTATTGGAGGCAAGCTTTTTATTTAGGTTCTTTACTAAGGATCCTTAGTTTCTTCTTATTTTTGATATCATCAACAATCATTTTCCAGGGAGTCTCCTTTTTAACTCTTTCCCGCTCTATGATTCTATCTTTGACAAAATTTTTGTCTTCTTCGAAGCTATGAGTGAAGGAATTGTTATATTTCAAGTGGATTATTTCCTTGTTTGTCAAAGGCTTCCTGCTAATAATACTCTTGTACTTGCTATCTTGGTATTTAAATCTTATATAAGTCACTCAATTCCTTACCTTGAGTAAGAAGCTTTTGCTTCAGGAAAACTAAAATGCCCTACACTAGTTGACATATTCTTTTCTGGAGAATTATTAGGAATTCGAGTCCTTTTGTCTATAAAATTATTGCTGGTAACGTTACTTGTGCTTTTGAATTCTTCAGTAGTCTTGTCTAAGTTTCTAGTCAATGCATGATTCCTGACAGAATTATGAGCTCTAAAGTTATGGAGTTCAATTCTTGGAATTTTTCTTTTCTTCCCTCTCTTGGTCTCAGATTTAATAGTTGACTGAGAAGTAATCGCATATAATTTCTTTTCTTCTTCGTGTATTCTTTGATGATCTCTTTTATATTGAGTATCTGTTTCCTCGAGACTTGTCTCCTCATGGATCTTTTCTCTGGTTTTTAGAAGGCCATCTTCAAAATCAAAGAAATTATCAATATTAGAATCTGTAGATATTGGACTATCGACATCTTCGAGGTAATCGATGTGCTCACTACTTTGGAGATCACTTGTAGATGACACATTCTCATTTTCCGAATCTTTAGGTTTTGATGGTGTCAAAGGGTTCTCTTCAAATCATTCAACAGCTTTTTCTTGTTGGGTGATTTGAGCATTATTTCTCATTAAGAGTTCTCTCTTCTTTGCTGATCTCAATATTTATTTCTTTACCTTCTTTACGGCCTCCTAAGGATCTGTCTGATTTCATTAGATCACTTCAGTTAGCAGTAAGTTTCTTTCTGACATTTTTACTCGACTTCTTTTTCTTGTCTTTCTGTGCATTGATTTTGAGAAGCTTTAAATCATCGCTTGGAGCATGAATTAGAGGAGATTCATTATTCTCATAATATGGATTACTTGATTGTGAATAATCTTTATTTCCTAATGCATTAGCACTTGAATTTGGGCTATTTCCTCTGAGAGTATTAATCACTCTGTGGAATCTCCTTGATGAAGATTTATGCTCACTTGATCCTAAGAATTTATTGGTCTCAGATTGATGCTCCTCATCCACCTCAACTATTGTATCTCGGCTGATGTCTAACTTTTTCTTCCATTTATTCTGATTTTTTAAACTAAGTTGCTCATATTTGACCTTCTTTGTCATGAATTGGCTGGGATCCATGATTTTTTCTTGCTTTTCATTCTGATCTGGAACTTTTTCTTCAGAAGAGCTGGAACTTGAATTTTGAGAATATTTTTTCTCTTCTTTTGATTCTTGAGATTTCCTCTGATCTGATTCTTTGGATGAGCAATCAAAGCTCGACTCTTCCTCCATATTAGCGTGTTCTTTCTGTATGTAAGTTCTCGAATTTTCTTCTATATCACACTAAACCTCCAAAATTCCTACCTTGGCTATCACCAGCTTGCTCAACCTCACTGACAATAGACTTATTAAACTCATTGTCCTCTTCAAAAATATCTCTTCTCAATGTACGAGCCACTGACATTGGCCTTCTCATTGAGATCTTGGTATCTTCTTTACTATGTAGCTTCTTCCTGACCTTTTCAAGGATCTCGAACAACCTTTTCCGTATAAAGCCCTTGATCTTCCTGTTGATCCTGGACTTTTCTTTCTTGAGCTTCCTTTCCTGTTCTTCAAGAGATTCACCAGTAATGGTATTTCCACGCTTTCTGGAGTTGTGCTCTTCTGTGAATTTGGACTTGATGACGGCCAAGGTCAAATTTAGTAGGAAGAACGCTCCGATGAAGACTAAAGGGACGAAGAAGAGGAAAGCGAGGTTGTTGAATGAGAGTTGAAGCATTACCATTACTGTCGACCATCCTTCAAGAGTTACTCATTGGAAGATTACTAGGAATGAGTAGAAGATGTTATCGAAATTTGTAATTCCCATGTTAGGGTTTGTGTTTGTTTTCCCACAGAAATAGCCGTCAGGACATGCTTTTGCTCCACAAAGAAGATCGTCTGGATGAACCTTTCCTGTTTCTATCTCTATACATCTTTTCTTCAAGACTCCTGGCCATAGTTGAAGACCAGCAATAGCAAAGATAATGAAAAAGAATATCAGCACTAAAATAGTATCTCTCAACATTGGTATAGCTGATATAAGAGCTGACACCAACATTTTCAACCCTTCGATTCCTGAGATTGTTCGGAGAGGTCTCAAGACTCGGAAAGCTCTGAGTACCTTCAGATCTGTTGAGTTACTAGATAGGAACATTGGTAAATATCCACTAATAACAATGACAAAATCAAGTATGTTCCATGATTCTCTCAGATAGGAGTTATTTAGGGAAAATGAACCCATTCCCCAAGATCTTGAGTACCATTTCTAACGTATACAATCCAAGGAACACATTGTCAAGCACTTTGAAATCATTATTTGAGGATTCATCAGTAGGGTCTTCTAGAGCCATGAAAAGAGAGTTTAGGACAATGACTGCTAATGAGGCTCCTTCAAAAATAGGCGAGCTGACAATTTTAAAACAAAAGTCTCTAATAGTGACTTTTATTAATGTGTAAAACTTTCTGAATTTGTAATACTTCTTGTTCTCCAGCATTTCTATTTCATCTTTGTCAGCTAAAGGATCAGGCGATGGTCTTACTGAAAATAGAAGAGTTTTCTGTATGAGCTTCTATAGTATAAAATTATTTATGCTCTATTTTTCAGAAATTGCTGAAGTAAAAGTACCATTTCATGGTGACCCATTTTCGCTCTCTAAGTTGTGAGTGATGGAATTGTTCTTATCATTTAAATACTCTTCTTCTCCTTTTGTCATTGGAGATCTGTCATTAAGCTCCTGAGATAACTTGTCTAAATCTGATTCTATATTAGCGAGATCGCTTTCATCAGGCTCAGGAATTCGACTCTCTTTGGAATTAAGTCTTTCCCGATAATGAGCAGAGGTAATATCTCAGTTATCAAGTACTGAGTTTCCGAAATATATAGTCTTTTGTTGTTCCATTAGAACTTTCTTGTCACTATTGTATTCTTCTGAAACACTTGAATTGTCTTGGCCTATAAGAGACAATATTTCTGCAATCCTTTAAAGCAAACTTACTGCTTGATTGTAGATAATTTTTCTTGTCTATATTTGCCTTTAATTCAGTTTTCTCTTCTTCATCATCTAATATTCTGGGAAGCCTTCTTTCTTTAGAGATGCTTTTATTTGGACCCTCAGTAAACCCTTTTAACATACTAGCTGAGTTATTTTGCTAAGTTTATTGGAGGAAGGCTGCTTTGATTCTAGAAAGATGTGGATAGATTCTTACGAAAGCTTACCTCTTTGAACTTATTCTCATCATCAGCATTTACACCACTACGGTCTGTGTTTTGTAAGCCCACTAATGGATAAATTATTTTCATAATCTCATTTTAAAGATTCATTAAATGAAGATGCAATATAAAAATCTAAATGCTGTCAAATAAGCTTAAATTGAGATACTATTAAAACAAGAAAGAGATTTAGTAATCACCGTTTGATTCATTATCATTTATCGAATCAGATCTGCTAGAATTTAGCCTTCTTTTTATTGATCTATAAAAATAAAATGTTAGTAACCATAACCTCTCGTAGAGATGTCCATGAGCAAAGTAGTATATCAATCCTCAGATTACTTAGTCACAGGAAATAGAATGTGCAGATGCTTACCCATCTTTCTCATTCTCTTTTGGAGCAGACATTATATTTATTGTTTCTAATATTTTAAATTCAATTATGACTATATTTAGGGGTTTTGGGGTTTTGGGGTTTTGGGG